TTATGCTGTGAAATAATTCAACAATGATATAAGGAAGTACTAATATAAGGTCTGGTGATATAATGTATAAGGTATAAGGTTAAGAACTTATTATAATGATATTTCGCTGCTGATAAGGCAATTCTAATAGGGGAACAAATGAAAACTGGTATATATAGGCAGCGATGCCTTGTTGAACAATGAAGGAATAAGATCTCTGTTTGAAGGTATGAAATGCAAGATTAACAATGAATAGAAGTATATTCTCTGGGGGAAAAATATACTTATCCTTTGGCCATGTTGAATATCCAACACAATGCCTGCTTTTATATTTATAAACGTTTGGGTATTTAATTGGCAGGGAGCACAGTGGCTCATTAGTTAAAAGACACTGAGCTTGTCAGTTGGAAAGCTGGCCGTCCAGGTTCAGAACCTGAACACTTCGCAACAGGGCGAGCTCCCGTTCCTTGCTCCAGCTCCTGCCCATCTAGCAGTTTGAAAGCATGCAAATCAGCGGTGGGATTCACTTGCCTTCGCTACCGGTTTGCAAATGTGTGCGGGCTCACAGGCGCAGAAGGCCACCCATTACGTCGGGGTGGGTGGGTGGAGCCTCCAGCCGCCGCTGCTATTGGTTCACCCGAAGCTGTAAGAACCAGCAGAATACCATCACTGTTGCAAATGCAAATAGATAAATAGGTACCATCTCAGTGGGAAGGGAACAGCCTTCTGTGTGTCTTTGCTATATAGCCATGCTGGCTACATGACCACAGAAATTGGCTTCGGGCAGTGCTGGCTCTCTTGGTTAAGAAATGGAGATGAACTTCGTGCCCTAGAGCCAGACAGGACTGATAGGGAAACGTTTACCTTTATTGAATTAGCACTAGCACTTAGACTTCTGTGCCGTTTCGTAGTACTTTACAGCCCTCTCTAAGCAGTTTGCAGAGTCAGCCTATTGTCCCCAGCAATCTAAGCCCTCATTTTACCGACTTCAGAAGGATGGAAGGCTGAGTCAAGGATTGAACTGCTGGCAGTGGGCAGAGTTAGCCTGCAATGGCTGACTCTTAAGACAGGAGACCTTATCCCATCCCGATCAAAGGGTGGTCCAGTCTATTTCTGAAAAATCTTTGTTGTTCTTCTCTGAGCCTTTTCTAGAGTCTCATCATCCTTTTCGTATTGATGTGTGACTGTGTGCTAAATGGCTTCCAGTTGTGGGATTCAGACGGTTTGCACCGGTTCAAGCAAACCAGTGGTTAAATTTCCCACCCCACCCCGCTATCAAAGTGGATCCTGGGCGCTGGGTTGCAATGGAGAAATGGGCAATGGATGGGCCAGTGTGAGGGAAGGAGAAGGGTGATTTCCCTGTTTCTTCTCCCTGCTCCTCCTGCAGTAGAGCCGAGGTGGTGCAGTGGTTAAATGCAGCACTGCAGGCTACTTCAGCTGACTGCAGTTCGGCTGTTCAAATCTCACCAGGCTCAAGGTTGACTCAGCCTTCCATCCTTCCGAGGTGGGTAAAATGAGGACCCGGATTGTTGTTGGNGACAGCGTGCTTCTGTCTCCGCGCTGTTGTCGCCCTGTTGATGACGCCAGCGACGCGGTTTAGTCGGGCGCGGTTTTGTGGTGGAACCGGGAGAAGCCATGAAAGGGGCACAAGTGATGTTTGTGCCAAGATAGGAGCCACCTGGCACCTCTGAAGAGCCAGTCCCATTTGTCTTGCCCCTTCCTAGAAAAGCAGGGTTGGGACAGGCCCCCGGGGTCACCTGAAACCAGGGGCTCAGCTAAGACAAGGACCTGGGCGCCCAGCTTCTTGAGGGCACAAGCAGAGAAGACGGAAGGGCCTCCATGCAGGGAGCACGGAAGTCACCTACCCGCTTACGCACACGGGACCCGCCCTGCGTCCCAACTCATTCTGGCCCATCTGCTCCCTACGGAGCCAAGAGGCCAGGAGCACAGGGGGCAAAGGGGCCTGGGATCCTTTCTCAAACAGGAGCCAAGAACGGACCAGCGGGGGAGCCATGTGTTTCTCCCCACCGCAGGGGGAAGGAGGGAGGGGGAAGCTGGCTGATCCCCCCCCCCCGCAAAGGATGCCCCCTGCCCATTGGGCCGCCTGCACTCCCAACTCCAGGAGCTACTCACCTCTCGGCCACCTCTGCCCTCTCCTCCGAGCGCTCCAGATCCCCCTCCAGGATCACCAGTTTACGAGCCACCTGGCAAGAAAAGGGCCACGTTAATTGGGCAGGCTGGATGCCGCCCCCCTCCCCCCGAAAGGCAGCCAGGGCCACGGCCGCCACCTCCCTGTCCCGGCCCCCGGGGCTCACCTCCTCATATTTGCGGTCCGCCTCTTCAGCGATGTGTTTGGCCTCCTTCAGCTGCATCTCCTGCAGTTCCATCTTCTCCTCATCCTTCATGGCTCGGTTTTCGATGACCTTCATGCCTCTGGGGGGGAAACAAGGCTCGGTCAAGAAAGCCCCCACCCCACAGCTGCTGACCTGGGGAATTGACCACAACCTCCACACGTGTCACAAGTGCCCAGGAGCCCCTCCTGCCTTGCCCATCCGTGTCTGCTCAGCACCTGGAGTGCCCAACCCTGCTCTATGGGTCATTGGGCTTCGACTGCCCTGCCTTTGGGAGCAGCCCACAAGTCCAGTGCTTCAAGAGCTGTTATCAATTTTTTATTCTTTTTCCCAATATATTTTAGACTGTTTTTGTTAAANGGGGTGCCAGGGTGTCGTTCTGGAAACAGCCCTGAACGATTCTCACTGCTGCCCCCACGGGAGGGAAGGCAGCTGGGCTCCCGCATCTGGTGCACTGGCAGACAGCTGAGCCTGGAACGGCTGGACCCGGTCTCACCCCCACGCTTTGCCTGGACCTCATCTGGGTCCTCACCCTCCACCCTGGGAAGCCCAAGCCAGAGAAACCTGAGACGGGTTGCTGGCAAGGAATCCTGGGCCCCCTTCCTCCCCCACCCTCCACTTGGCCCAAAAGGGTGAGGGGAGGGGCGGCAAGACCGATGGTCATGAGGCTTGATGGACGCAACCAAATGAAGAGGCAGAAATGGAGAGAGGAGGAGGAGGAGAGCTTGAGAGATGTTTATTGAAACGAAGAAGGTGAGAACAGAACATGGAAGACAGGCAAGGGGGAAGGACAAGCAGAGCCAGGGGGTTCCGGCAGGGGCCTGGGGTCTGTCGCCCTCCCGTCCTACCCAGGCAGGGGCCTTTCCCCGGCCCACCGAATCTCCCACCCTACATAAGGCAGGCTGCTTTCTTGGCACAGCCAGCTCCCCCAGAGTGCAGCCTTAAGGCACTTGGGTACAGAAGAGCCCAGCTCCCTCCATGGAAATCCCCCCCACCCCGTCACCCCATCGTCCCGTCCCCCGGGTGGAGAAGTGGGGGGAAGGGGAGAGTGCTGACAAGGCATCTGCAGAAGGTGGGGGGTGCCAGGGGGTGGCCGGGCAGGGCAGTGCGGCCGTGCTGGGGCTCAGAGGGAGGTGATGTCATTCAGCGCATTGTCCAGCTCCTCGCTGATGGCCTTGTACTTCATCTTCTGGGCATAGACCTCGTCTGCAGCCAGCGTGCAGGGAGGGTGGACGTGAGGCAGGGGGTGTGAGAGACAGCCAGGCAGTGGTGAGGAGAAGGAGGAGGAGGAGGTGGAAGGAGAAAAGAGTGAAAGTGAGAGGAAGGAAGAGGGGAAAGGGGGGGACTCTTGCGCGGAGGCACTGATGTCTCACCATAGCCCCCCCACTCCATAGCTCCCTGCAGGCATCGACCCCCCCAGGCCAAGCACTAAGGGGGAAGAAGGGGAGCTTACCTTCTAGATCATCAATGGTTTTCTCCAACTTCGCCACAGACCTCTCGGCAAATTCCGCCCGAGTCTCAGCCTGGGGGGCGGAGGGTGGGAGAAGGGGCAGGGAGAGGAAAGGAGTTTACAATGGCCCAGAAGCCCCAACCCCCCCGGAGAAAGGGGCATTCCTGACTCCCCATTTGAGACCTCCAAAGTAGGCCATGACCCCTCCCTTGGCTCCCTTGAGTTTCACCTTCTCCTCCCTGCTCCCTGCTTCCCGTCGGGCAGGACGAGGCTAGAGAGAATCAGGGCAGGCACAAGCGCTGGTTCTGCCAGTCCACCCTGCCCAGGAACAGGGCTCTGGCCATGCCAGGCGAGGGCAGAGATGTCCTTCATCCCTAGGAAAACATCCGCTGCCTCCTGTTTGCCCCCCCGCCCCCTTTCATCCTCTCGCTCTGGGTAAGGAAGCGCGGGTGGCCTGGCACACCCTTCGGGGCTTCCGGGACTGGCCTGGGCCAGGGCATGCGGGAGGCAGGGGGCTCAGCAGAGCTCCCCCAGGCCCCTACGGTATGTAAACCTCCTGCAGCCTGGGAAGGAAGGGCAGCGGCTCTGAGTGGTCAGGCCACAGAAAGAGCCGAGGTGGCGCAGTGGTTAAATGCAGCACTGCAGGCTACTTCAGCTGACTGCAGTTCTGCTGTTCGGCGGTTCAAA